GTTCAAACTCCAGAACCTGACTGCGGTTGACCCATCTGCAGCACAGAGACCTCACAACACTGCCTAAACCTAAAGCCGCTCTCCGTTTGGATCTACGTGACCCCGTCAGCAATCTCCCGCTCACCCCTGCGCAAGAACTTGAGGCCATTGCAGACAACATCACTAGCCGAAGCTATGTGGTCCCGCCCCCGGCTGACCCACAATTCCAGCGCCAAGTCGAACAGCAAATCAGTGCCTACAGACTTCAGGCACTAGCTGAAGCTGGGGTTGACCATACCGAGTTTGCCACCCAAGAACAAGTCCGGGCATGCTGCCGGAGCATGCAAGACCGCAAGGCGTCAATGCGACTCCCAGGAGCTGCTGCTAAGTTTGGCACCGAGGCCAGCACAACAGCCATCTGGGCCATCATCAATCTTAGTGCCGCTTGTGGCTTGGTCCCGTCAAGCTGGGCGCGCGAAGTTGCACCTGTCAGGAAGCGCGGGCCCATGTGTGTCAGTGATTTAGCTAACCTGCGACCTATCTCCTACGTAGATGAGGTGGAAAGCATCATGGATGCACTATGGTTGCAAAAGACTCGCTCACCCATTGAAGCACACATGGGGCCACAGCAACATGGGGGTATAGTGGATGCAGTGATTACTGCTCTACCCAGAGGCTCCAATAAGTTAAAAACACTAGCTATAGTTAATTTTAAACTATTTCGTAGGAATAGTTATAGTTAAAAATTAGCTATATAGTTAAAATCCGTGAGGGTTACACCATAGTTAAAAGTGCTGTTTGGGAGCGGTTTGGCGGCAAACTGGCCTCGAAAGTGGCTTGGCAAAAGCCGGTTTGGCGGCAAACTGGCTTGGCAGAAGCCGGTTTGCCGTCAAACTGGCTTCCCGAAGCTACTTTTTGCCTATTAACTATGATTTTAACTATTGTTTTAACTTAACTATTTCGTGCAATTTTAACTATATAGTTAAACTGGGATTTTAACTATATAGTTAAAAGTCAGTTTTTTATCTTAACGGAGCCTCTGGGTAGGAATCATTGTGGCAGCACAGCAGCGCAGAGGACATGGCCTCCCAACCTTGGTGTTCAAGGCTGATCTTATGCAAGGCTTTGACCTGACGTGGAGAAACGGGTGCCCCTTCCACCTGTGGCGAGCTGGGGTCAGGGGCAAGCACTGGCTCCACATGGACGCCACCTTCACTAGCGACAACTTCCGAGTGCGACTTGCGCATCTTGTAGGACCCATAAGAGAACTAACCATAAGAGAACTAACCGCCTTTGCAGTAGGACAAGGGAAAAGGGCAGCAGTTCACCTGTTTGGAGCCCTGACACGTGCCTTGGTTGATTCAGCTGCAAGTCACCTTGGGGTTGGCCTAGGACTAACAGCGTTTGAGGTTAATGCAACCTTCACAGGGCAGTCGCTTTGGACTGCACCCGCTCTCCCAGTGGACGCCTCGCGCGTCCATCTGGTCACTGGCAGTGTCGCTACCAGCATCGACGCTTGTGCACGTGCACCTTGGCTGCAACCTGAAACACCAGTGGGAACTGCTGCAGAGCGCCTCCTGGCTCTTGACATACTGGCCAAGAGCAACACGGACCTCACACAGTTCGTTGATGATGTTTTTGCCTTGTGCTCTACGTGTGCAGGCCTTAACAGTCTGACCAGAGCGGCCAACGATTTTGCGAGCCAGTGGCGTCACAGATTTGCTTCAGGCAGCAAAAAGCCCATGGTCCTGCCTGTCAACTGCAACGTGGAACAAAGGCATCTGGAGCAGAACTTCTGCAACACTGAGGTGGGTTTAAGCGAGGAAATTCACATCCTGGGCATTAGAACTGATGCTCAGCTCTCCTTCCAGAACTTCTTCACGGAGGCATGTAGCAAATACCATGCCCAAGCAAAGCAGCTCAGCGCACAACTCAGTCACCTTGGCCTGGGATTCATTGAGCACTTCAGGATTGCCCAGGAAAGGGTGGAGCCGAGCGCCTTCTTTGGGATCGCTGCTGTGGCCAGCCATTTCCAAGGAGCGGCCTTCGTCCAGACTAAACTCAACTCGCTGCAGTATGAAGTCGCGAAAGATTTGTTGGGTATTTCTGGTATCTCCCTAGGAGTAGGTGGCCAGAGTCGACTTTTGATGGAACTTGGTATTGAGCAACGCCTGGCCACTAGAGTGGCCACCATGATTGCCCTCACACGGGCCCGCATACTGTGCCTGGATAGCAGTCACGGCGTGTGGCAGGCCTTCTCGACAGCTTTTTCATCTAAGGCGGATACCTGGCTCAACCGCGCGCGCATTGTTCAAGATGGTTTAGCGGTTCCAGTAGACTTCCACGAATACTTGCCTGCGATGCACCTGCTACACCAGGATCCGAAGGCAGCAGTGAAATTATGGAAAAGACAGATCCTCATCCCGGTGGCAAGAGCCTCTGACCGACGGTGGTTTCAGCAGGAGGCTACGAAATGGACAGCAGCACACACGCAGCGCCCCCTGGCCAAATGTGGACCCGTCAGGCCGCACACTGGCCAAGAAACCTGCAATACCACCTGCGCAGGTGGACGGCGACGCGACTAACAGGTGCCTTCATTCAGATGAGACCGCGAGGTGGTTGGGAAGCTAAGGAAACGCTGGCTTACTGCCCTTTTCTGCAACTCCCCTAGCGCGACACTGCCCGACGTCTTTTCGGAGTGTGCAGAGATCCAGTCGGCTGCACACCTGGTGCCAGCCTGGCCGTGGCTTGTCAGCTTACCAGATTCCTTGGAGGAGCTGGACACCAAGATCCGCCTCTTCGGTAGGATCATGGGGCTCATAGACAGACAACCGGTGTGAGCATGGAAAGACCACTGACTGGAGATCATTAAGGGTGACTTGGCTTGTTCTTCGTCACTAGGTGTTGGCCCACAGACCCTTCAGGGTGGAGGCGCTCACCAGTGACGCGCGGGGGTTAACCGCTTGAAGCCACGGCGCGCCGAGCTTCCCTCTCTATACCCACAGGGAATACCCACAGGGGCCCCTGGGGTTTAGGGCCTTACGGTTTAGGGAGTTGATCCGCCCCGGACTTAATAAAGCCCTACGTTTAAGTTTTGCCAACAGATGTGTGAAATCCCTGTCCCTTTGTTTAATGCGGTATTTACAGGCTTTTTGCTCGGTGGCGGATCACTTCCGCCAGATTTTGCCCGGATCCCTGGCCGTTGTTTTGACGCGGTATTTACTCAAAACATCTGTCTTGTACAGCTGGGCCCCTCAAGGGGTCAAAACATCTAGCTTGCACGGCTAGCCTTTTCCAAGCTCAAAACATCTGTCTTCTACAGTTGGGCCCCTCCAAGGGTCAAAACATCCAGCTTGCGGGCCATGTGGCACATAAAATGGCAAACCGATATGTTTCGTGAATATTTACATGGTTTCCAGCCACCTGGCTGCATTAAAACCAGCATTAAAAAAATTAATGCAGCCCGGCCCGTGGAACCAAGAACCAAGAACCAAGTTTCCCAGGAGTCTTGAATCCTGAATCTTGGTTCGACGGGCACCGGCCGGGTTGCATTAAAATCTGCATTAAAAAAATAAATTTTAATGCAGCCCGGCCCGTGGAACCAAGAACCAAGATTCCCAGGAGTCTTGTATCCTGAATCTTGGTTCGACGGGCACCGGCCGGGTTGCATTAAAATTTGCATTAGAAAATTAAATTTTAATGCAGCCCGGCCCGTGGAACCAAGAACCAAGAACCAAGATGCCCAGGAGTCTTGAATCCTGAATCTTGGTTCCACGGGCCTGGGTGCATCAACATTTTATTTTTTTAAATGCAGATTTAATGCAGCCCGGCCGGTGCCCGCGGAACCAAGATCCAAGATTCAAGACTCCTGGGCATCTTGGTTCTTGGTTCTTGGTTCCACGGGCCTGGCTGCATTAAAATTTAATTTTTTAATGCGGGTTTTAATGCAGCCCGGCCGGTGCCCACGGAACCAAGATCCAAGATTCAAGACTCCTGGGAATCTTGGTTCTTGGTTCTTGGTTCCACGGGCCGGGTTGCATTAAAATTTGATTTTTTAATGCGGGTTTTAATGCAGCCCGGCCGGTATCCGTGGAACCAAGATTCAGGATTCAAGACTCCTGGGCATCTTGGTTCCACGGGCCGGGCTGCATTAAATTTCAATGTTTTAGTGCTGGTTTTAATGCAGCCGGGCCTCTGGTATAGTCATGTTCGTATACACTAATCTTCGTATACCCAGGTCCATGTTGCGTGTGTGTGTGTGTGTGTGCGTGTGTGTGTGTGTGTGCGTAGGTGATGGGGTATGATATCCTGTGTGTAGGCCGACGGGTTTGGAGGTAGGTCCTGGGGGGGGGGGTACCATATATATATATATATATATATATATATATACATACAAAAAATTGTATAGCATTACATAGTACAGCTCTAGTGTTTTTATTGTATTGTTTTCGCAAACTGTATATGTTGGATTACATCACATTGCAATACTGCATTATACTACATTGCACAACATTGAATACTATACTATAGTATGTAATACTATACTTTACTATAATACATATTTACATGTTTCATAAGTAGGTATGTTATGTATGTACGGTAAGTATGTATGCTGTGTATATGTGTTAAGTATGTATGTTATGTAAGTCTGCTACGTATGTCTGTACGTGTGCGTCTACATGTATGAATGTATCTGTATTTTGTTATGTATTTTTGTATATCTATGTAAGTATGTATGCATGTACGGATGTATGAATGTATGTATGTGCGTATGTATGCATGCATGTGTGTATGCATGTGCATGTGTTTGCGTGCATGTCTGCAGGTATGCATGTCTGTCTATCTGTATGTATGTGCCGATTCCTGGTTCCTCGATGTTCCTCGCGGTTTTCGCAGCAGAAGGCTGTATTCATTTTTTCATTCGGTGCATGTTCACCATCGCCCTGTGGCAATTTGCAGCCACCTCTAGCTCGCCTCTCCCACCGAAAAGATAGTTGCATAGCGCAGTCATACCAATTCAGGCTACCATTTGGTCCACCTGGTGGCCTGTGGCACCAGCGACCTCATCTTCATCCGCGAGGATGCTATGGGCGATTCTTGGACTTTCCTGTTTAACACCCAGAGACCCAAAGACCCTCAATGGCCATAAGAAATCCAGTGACTGTTCAAGCACCATACAGTCATAGACTCGGCTCTTGCACGCTATGACCACGATTACCGCTGCGAGTTTTCCCGCATAGATTTCATCTTATTATCCTCGCGGTAATTCCCATTCAGAAATTCGTTTATATCGTGACTGTTCTTTTGCTGCCAGGAGTCCCGTCATGAGCTCCTAGTGTGAAGGGTTCACAAGACGGGCGTGCACAAACAGAGACGGGACGAGTTGCAACAGTACCTATAGGACCTATAGTCTCCATTGTAGTTCCTTTTTTGGTTTACCAAAATCTCTATTCTTGGATCCTATCCCTAAAACTGGTTAACCACAAAAAGGAACCACTTTGGAGACTCTAGGTAGCGCAGGGTTCAACTCTCCTGGGCCAGGCTTTTTCTCGACTGTCTCCTGAAGCCCCGGAATAAAGCTCCCAAAGCCAGGGGTTTCGAGGTTCATCCTTTACAAACTCCGAACCCAAAAACCCTAGACCCAAAACCCCTCATTTAAACATTAAGCCCTAACCCCTAGACCCTAAACCTTTCTCCCTAAACCTTTCCGTCTTGCAGGGGCGCGCCTTTCCCGCACAGAACGACGCCGTGGCCTTGTGCCGCTTGAGCGCCTACCAGTGCGAGGCCGAATCGCCAGAACAGGGTTTAGGGGTTTAGGGTTTAGGGGTTTAGCGTTTAGGGGTTCAGCGTTTAGGGGTTGAGGGTTTAGGGTTTAAGAGGTCTTAGAATAATGTAGGGGCCTCCATAGTTACCTGTACTATTTTTTTTGGGGGGGGTTCTTGTTATATCTATAGTATAATGGGCTCCAAAACCCTAGTCTAAGTATTAATTAAGGCCCCTACATAAAGGCTTTGGTGAATGCCTGGGAGAGAGAGGGTTTGGAGTTTGGAAGTTGAAGAGTTTAGGGTTTAGGGTTTCACTCATACATATTATTCCTGTTTATGTTTTTGTTGGCGAATGTTGCTGTTTCAGAAGTAGCAGGATAGCTTCAGCATGACCAGCATGAAAGTCTTAGATGGCACCAGAATGTGACAATGTTCCAAGATCTCGATTCCCAACTCAGTTACTGAAAGTAGCTACTTAGCGGCTGTGGTGGTTATTGGCTAGTGGTACTTACTGCACTGACTCTCATACTATCGTGCTGATTGTTCATATCTTAATGTACGATTCTTTCCAGTATTCCTTCTGTTTGTACGACAGAAGGGTCCAGCCTGCCACACGTGTTTGAGTGAGGATTTGCACGCAGAATGTTTAGGCACGAGGTGAAGGAAAACACTGAGGTGATCTTGGTGCCATAACAATATGGGCAGGTACATCACGCCAGTCGCCTGCCCTCCTTTCTGTTTCCGCCAGGCGAGTGAGATTTGGTGTGCGACGCAGTGGCCGGGAGCAGCACCTCCGAGCCAGGACAAGCATGTTTCTCGGGCTGGGTCAGAGCCTGTTAGAGCTGTTTCGAGCTGAAACACGCGCATAAACACGCACTGATGTGTGTATGTGTATATGGGTGGCTGTCAAAATTATGGTCCATTCTTGGGTGCCCTAAATAATAGCTGCCGTATTATGATAGGGACCCAAAAAAGGACCATAGCTTTGACCACCACCCGTATAAATATAATATATATATATATATATATATATACACACACACATACATACATACCCAATGTATAATGTTGCACACGCACATGTACATGTGCAAAAGTCTGCACGTGGGTCTGAGCCAGCAGCAGTCTTGTTTGCCAGGTTGAGTCTTGCACAGCAGGCATAACAGTTCAACCATGGTTTGGTACAGAAGGATGCAGAACAGTTCACCCACCGTCTGGTGGTGAAAGCTGCAGGACCTGCGAACCACCGCTGAGCTTGCACTGGCCGGGAACTACCAACTTCAACATTCCTGGCCGATGGAGAGGCAGAGCCAGCAAGCTGAGTCAAGGATGCGAGTCGGATTGCGGATTGTTACTCGTGATCCTGCCACGAGCAGTCGCTTGTACGTGGGTTTTGTATACCCACATTCCTTACGCGAGGGATCTAGTTCAAACCAGCTAAGCATCCTAAATGGACCTGCGGGGGGGGGGGCACCCCGTCGTTGATGTGGTGGTTACTTGAAAGTGGCATTCCTGCCGGCATGTCTGGCAGGTTGCGAGAGGAGCTGTGCTAGCTGCTGACTTTCTCTGCGGCCGCCGAAGCCACCAAGCAGACCCCGGGGAGTGCTGCGAGATATTCGCCCGCGTGCTGTTCATTGCATCTTGCTGGCCGAGATTGGCCGAGCTCGTGATGTGGAGATGCTCAAAGCCTCGGAACATCTCCAAGTTGGCCTCGGCAAGTTGACAAGAGCGTGAACATGAGCACCGACACCTGCCGTGCGCGAAAAAGGTGTTTCACACACTCGAGGCTCTGGCGACCGAGACAAAAGACACTGCAGAAGCTACTGCGGTACCTCTTCTGTTTGCTGTATCTTGCACGGGTCTCAGAAGGGAGTTTCTAAAGCTCCGGGATCCGTGACTTGTAGCCGGGCTGCATAGTCTGACTGAGCTCCTCGATTCGATTAGGAGCAATCTGGAAGCGCGAGCAGCCAGCACATCTACACGCGTTCTAGAGGTAGCCAGTCATATCCACGCATGCAGTGAGAAAGAAACGAACAGAGGGGGACCTGGTTCAGGTGATTTTTGAGCATGGCATGAACAGTCCATCCTTCGTGTAACTGTTCAGGAACTCGAGTGCAGATGTTCTGCCTTGCCTGACGTTCTATTGAGGGTTCTGCTCTTCCTTGAACGAACATGCCAAATCTGCTCTTCCTTGAACATGCCAAACCAGGTTTAGGGTTTAGGGTACATGAGTGTCACTGCCAGGCATCCACCAAGCTCCTGGCTCAAAAGGGCATGGGTACCCTACAGCCTAAACCCCGGTGGAGGAGAGAATCGAGACCTGCTACGGCGACATTGCCGAGTTCGGTGGAAAGGGTCCAGAAACGCGCCGGATAAACGCGGAAGGCCGGCTGCTTTGGCGGGAGGCAGGAGGTACCAGAACTTAAGTCTCCACTTTCAAAAGCCCAACACATCAGCCAAAGCTTCCGAGCTACCTATCGAAGCCCTTCAACCCTCGACCCGATGTGTATTGACAGGCAACAGCTACCTGAAGAGTCACTACCCGCGGCTGAGCTACATCCGACGGGCGCGACCGCTTGACTGGACTCCGACAGGAGGTGGCTGGGCGAGTTGACATAGCCAGGGGAGACGCCGACGTGCCCTACTATAGCACAACAACACCTATATGATGACTAGTGACGAGGCCGCAATGCACTCAATGTCTTGAAGCCCGTGAAGTGACCATAAGCCGTGAACACCAGGTGTGGAGATCATTGCGGAAGCATCGCCAGTGCCTTCCAGGCACCAGCTGGCAAAGGGTTCGTCCACGGTGTAGGCTATGTACACTGGAGGCCGTGAGGGCTTGGAGTGAAACATATGGGACTTCGGCAATTGACGATGTCAGGGTTCGGGTCCTTCACAAATGCGGCGGGCAGAAAAAGACGTGCAGACTAGACTAGGCAGTTGCGGCTGAGTGGCAAGAAGGCCATCAAAACAAATCTATCAGCACAAGTATACATACGGCCGGTGAAACAAGTTGTCGGAAGGATTCGATCAGAAACCAAAAGTGAGCTGGGGAACGAGGGGCAAAGACAACGAAAGTGCCAGAAACCCAGATTTCGATGTTCGTCACGAATCCGCTCCTAAATCCCATAAATCCCATAAATCCCTAAGCATCCGAAGACCTCAAATGTGACCATGTTTGCTAAGACCTCAGAATCCAAGGCCTTTAGTGTAAGTGCTGGAAATACAAGGACTTGGACAATCATGTAAGTTGAATGAAATGCATGTCAATATATATGATGTATAAAATGTATTCAATCCAGGAAATGCATGTCATTCCCTGTATTTCTCAATATTCATATGTTGATATACAGGTCAAACAATCAGTATATATGGTCCAAAAAATGTGTTAATAGGTTTGTTTGTTCTTTCCGAAATGCTTTAAAAATATTCATATCCGATGCAGATTCGCTGAAAAGATCAGAAAGATCAGTAAATAAGTATGTAAAATTTAAATGAATCAGTCGTAGAATACGTTTGCAAGTTCTTTCCCAAATGCTTTGAAGATTATTCATATCCGATGCAGATTCGCTGAAAGGATCAGAAAAATCAATCAATAAGTATGTAAAAAAAATCAGTCCTAGAATAAGTTTCAAGGTTATTTCCCAAATGCTTTGGAAATTATTCATATCCGAAGCAATATATATATATATATATATAAACGTCCAGCATTCTTTCGAACTTCTTTTCCTGGCTTTGCAAACCCGAAGGTAGGCCTTAGGCCGTGGGCACGGGTTTTATTCCCGGTGGGTGCCCCACAAATTCTGGTGAAGAAGACTTTGGCCAGCTCAAACCTCCACCTCAGGGAGAGTACAGTGTTCAGGTTCAGGGCTCAGGGTTTAGGACTGAAGGGTTCAGGCCATATATATATATATATATATTTATTTATTTAGAGAGAGAGAGAGAGAGCTGTAGGGTTGCCGGGCCTGGGTCTGGTTCACGAGTGGCATGTCTTGGATGAGCCGATCCAGTTGAGACATGCTGGGCTCCTCCATTCTCTTGATGTCGGCATCTTGGATAAGGCTCCGAGGGAAATATATGTATATATCTATATATACATAAATTAATTCAGCTAAAGGCGAAAGCTCCTGCTATGTATATATATAGATAGGCTTCACAAGAACCATTATTATTATAATTATAATCAGTTCATATGGCATATGTATTTACATATTTATATATCTGTCTGTTTCTTATATATTTATTATATATATATATATAATATGCAGCCTAGCGACAGAGGAACGGGACCATATTCCCGAAGCACAACAGCAGCTCGTCGAGGGCCATGACGATGTCGCATAGCTTGTGCTCCAGTGCATAACCCATAGCGGATTCGAGGAAGCGGTCGCATGTCCTCAGATGCCGAGAAACAAAAATCTTGTCATCTTAAGCTCCACCCGCAAGAAATACAAAACGGAGAATATGTCAGAAAGTTGAATAGTTATTGATAAAGGTTTGATTTCACGTGACAAGGTCACAAACATATATATATATATATATATATTTATGTATAATATGTATAATTAATAATAATAATAATACTATATATATATGTATAAATATAAATATATATATTTATTTATTTATATTTATTTATTTATATATTCTATATATATATATATATTGATATTAATGTATATAAAAAGAATCATATATTATACTCATATATCTATATATATTATATGAGTGCTTGGCCAGATTCTCTGGGTTCGACATGCCCGTGAGGGCTACCACCGTTGGGCAAGTCACTCTCGTCAGGAAGCGATTCACCCACTTGCCGTGAGGCGTATAGTTGCGCATGGCAAGCCAATGCAACCGGTCCTTCTCTGCAATTGGCAGTCCGTGTACCAACACTGTCATCCTGTCCCAGCCATGCCGTTCCAGGTCGTTGACCGCCTTTGCAGCTCTCGATCCCCAGCCGAGCAGCTCCATCTTCACCATCCATGTTGGCCCTGCCATGCCGAGAGGTAAGAGTGGGAAAAACCTCAAGGCACCAAAATTTAATTAACTGCTTGAGCATCATATATTTGCATGTAAGCAGGCATGTGACACTTCAGTCCTGCTGCAGCCCCCCGTGAGTGAACTGACTGCATCCGAGGGGTTTGGGGTTTAGGCTTTAGGATTCACGGGCAGGGGTTTAAGGTTTAGGGTTCAGGGCTTCAGGGTTTCGGGTTCAGGGGTTTGGGGTTTTGGGTTTAGGGTTTACATCTATATATATATATATATACATAGATACATATATGTATATACATATACATATATATATATATATATATATATATTTCAGGAAGTCTCGGATGCAGGAGAACTGTTTTCACGAGCTCGCTATCTGCTCCGGAGCTCTCGTTCATGCACGTGCAAGCATGGCCCGCCAGTGCCGTCAGTGACCTTGCATCAAAGCCTGCAGTCGCAGCAACTGCTTGGAGAGGATCTGATTCTCGACCGTGCTTCGATGCGAGGATTTGGCAATATCCACAGCCACTCCAAGAGCCCCCTCTTCAGCATACGTATGGAAAAACCTGAAGTTATAACCTCAGCTGCATATTAGCTGGACTGAAAATACATATAACAAACTCATATATATATATATATATGGTAGTCGCTGGAATATATATATATATATATATATATATGTATATGTATCTACCAGCTACAAGATATGTTATCACTTATAAACAGTCGCACCATGAAAGGAATTGTCCTTGAGTAATATATATATATATATATATATATATCATCCTCGTAGCGGGTCTCGGCAAGCTCCATGACCATGTGCTGCAGCATGTGGTGCTTCGGTCTCAGGCTCCACATAAACCTTGGGCAGGGTAGAAGTACTGAAATTTTTAAATAGATGGATACCGCCAGCTTCAAAAATGTGGGGAGAGAGACAGAGAGAAAGAGAGAGATAAATATATAAAAAGACACAGACCCAAAACTCTTTTCACATAGAATTAGACAGAATATTAATCAGCTGATACAGGTGCGGGTTGGTGGAGGTGGCTGCACAGTGCATATAGGTCTCCAGGAATCGAAGGCCCAGGCTGCGGATTTCCACGGCTTCCTCGGCATCGATGGGGATTCATATATTATGTGTCATGCACTTAATATATATATATATATATATATATATATTTGTTAAGATGCAACTTTATTGTATATTAACACATATATATATGTATACATATGTTATACATTACATACTATTTAGCATATGTACTTTATTATATATTATTACTATTTCAGAATTATTATTACCATTATTATCATATAATTATTATATCATTATCACTATCATATATATATGCATATATCTATAAAGGTATAGTTTAAATAATATATAGATATATGTATATATATATATGTAATATATCTTTTATACTATATATAACGAGTATACATATATATATATATATATCATATTCCAAAGTTTGACAGAGAAGCCTCCTCCGTCAAGAACCTGTTGCCTTGCTCCACACGGTTGTACAGCTCCGACAGGAGATGCACACAG